TCAGTCATGGGTCTGCGGGTGCTGTGGGCCACGGCACTGGCCCTGCAGGTCTGGGTGGCATCTGCAAGCCCCCCTTGCCCCTGGCATCAGCGCCAGAGCTGAGTAGCAGGGTCCCTGGCCAAGAGTGGGGAGAGAGTGCACCCGGTACCAGGGACCTTCAAGGGAAGCCCGGGCTGGGGACCCCTGAATCTGGTCGATTCAGCGACTCATTGGTCCAAGGGCCTGTTCTGTGCAGACTGCTCAGAGACAGAGCTGACAGTCAGGGTGGCTCACACCTTTCATCCTAGCACTGGGGAGGCTGAAGCAGGAGGATCTCTGTGAGCTCAAGGCCAGCCTGGACTCCATACTGAGACTCTGTCTCAAAACAAAAGAAAGAAAGAGAGAGGACTCAGGGGCTGTCAGAGTGGGGGCCTGTTGGGGAGGAAGAGTGAGTGCAGGGTGTGAGAAGGCGGGCAGCCGTGCCTTTCCTTCCTGGGCTGAGGGTGGCACAGTGAGGGCCTCCCCTCCGGGCAGGCACTGGGCAGCGCGGGACTTGGTGTCTGCTGTGGGCGCCCCGGGGGGTGGGGCTCGCAGGACCCTGTCCCCCTGGGTGGGACTCGGACCACAGAGCTGGGGCCCATGGGAGCCCAAGGAAAAGCTAGGTTCTTGTTTTTCTTCATTTTATTTTATTTTTTTGAGACAAAATCTTGCTATGTAGCCCAGGATATTCACAAACTCACAGCGATCCTCCCGCCTCAGCCTCCCAAGTGCAGCGATTATTGGCTGCCACGTCCTAGTTTATTGGGAAAATCGTCCATCTGGGGTTGAAAGAATTTAAGCAGAGCCTGCTTTTTACCTTTCCTAAGAAAAGAAAAGCCCACGTGGCCAGGCCTGGGGTGGCAGAGCCGCTGGCCTCCCCGGTCCGGTGTCCTGGCCACCAGACAATGCGGACGTGTCTGTCCCCACCCCGCCTCCCCCTCCTGGCTGCCCAGCATCCGTCTCTCCAGCCAGGCTGGGCTGCCGGTCTCTGGCGGGGCCCAGGGCTCCTCCCTCCTTGGCCATGGAAACCTCTGCATTCCTGGCCGGGAAAAACCCTTTCTTGGTGCTGGGAGGCCTGATTGGTGGAGGCCGGGTGACCTCATCTCCTGGGAATCTGGGATCCCCCCTGGCCAGCTGCCTGGGCTTTGGGGTCCCCCACAGGCGGGCGCCCAGCTGTGCGAGCCCTGCCCCCACCCCTCTGCCCTCCCCAGCTCAGCTGTGGCCACGGCGTGTGCCCTGCTTAACCCCGTCCCTCCCACGATGCCCTGGGGCAGGCACCTCGGTGAGAGCCAGAGCAGAGACCCCTGGGTGTGGAGTTGAGTCCTGCCCCAGACGCCTGGGGCTGCACCACCACGAGTGGCACCCAGCACCGCAGGCTGCTTCCCTGGGGGATCCCGGGTGGGTCCCCTCAGCCCTCAGTCAGCCTTGCCTCCCACAGCAGCCCAGTGACCCCCGAAAATGTCCGGGGGGGAGATGGGGCGGGGGGGCCACACCTGTGATCCCAGCTACTTGGGAGGCTGAGGCAGGAGGACTGAAAGTTCGAGGCCAGCCTGAGCAGCACCCTGTTTTAAAAGAAAGGGCTGGGGATGCAGGGCAGGCCAGAGGGCCTGGGTTCAATCCCCAGCACTGCAAAAATATCAGAATAAAAAATAAAATCAGTAAAACCTTCAGGCTGACCTGGTCTCAGTGTGCACAGCCTCAGCGAGGGGCCTCACAGGCTGCTCCAGCAGCTCACCTGGGGAGGAACGGAGAGAGCCAGCTGGCAGCTCTGCTGCTGGGGAGGCACCCGGCTCAGGAAGGTGGCCAGTGGGCCACCAGCCCAGGTGGCATCCGGCCCAGTGGAGCCCCAGGGTCCAGCTGGCATGGAGCTGGGCTGCAGGGCTCCCTCAGCGCCTCTGGGGACACAGAGCCCAGGCAGCATCCACACTGCTGACTTCACCACGCCCACTTGGGTCTGCCCTGGTCAGCGGCGGCCTTGGGCCCCTCTGGAGTCCCCCTGATGGCCTGGCCCCGGGGGTGCTCTGCAGGTCAGGGGTCACCTGCATCTCCTGTAGAAGAACTGAAACTATCCGCCTAGAGAGATTCTCACAGTCCTTCTTAATATAAAATAAGCCAGTGAAAAAGGAGCCCAGCGTAGTGGTGCCTGTGATTGTAGCACTCGGGAGGCTGAGGCAGGAAGATCCCGGGGAGATCGAGGCTGGCCTGGGTTATGTGGACTGATGCCCAGTGTCCGGATACACAGGGACGTCTCTGCAGACTCTGGGGACACCGTACACATGAAGGCTGAGATGCTGCTGATGGCCAGGACAGAGTGGGGACGCTGCTCTCAGTCTCTGCGAATGCCCGGATCACAGACCTGCAGTCTCAGCCCAGAGGGATGGTGTGTTCCTGAAGTCTGGGCCGGCGGTCTGTAGCCCTCACCACCAGCCTGGCCAAGAAACACATGCGGTCAACTCTTTCTGTTTTGTGTTTTGAGATAGGACCTCCCTTGCTACGTAGCCCAGGCTGGCTTTGAACTCATGGTGATCCTCCTGCCTCAGCCTCCTGAGAGCTGATATTACAGGCGTGCGTACCGCACTGGGCACTGGGTAAATTCTTATGCTCCCTGAGCTTCTGCTTTCGTCTGTGAAGTGGGCCTACTCACTGGCCAACTGGTCACATGACCACGACGTGCGCTGACCTGGCTCTGCCGGAGCCTCGGAGGCTCTGGCGCTTGGAGCTGCTCACAGTGACGTCCTCTCCAGCACTGCAGACACGACAGGATGCGCTCCCATGCCTCGGTTTCCCTCCTGTCTCCTGGGCCTGTCCTGTGTGAAAAGAGCCAAGCCTGTGGAGGGGGCCTTGGGGACCCTGTGACACCGACTGGCCCCAGTCTGCAACTTCCCACCAGTCACGGTGGGAGGAGAGGACCCCGGGCCAGCCCCGCCGGGGACTCAGGGCGGCTTTTGGTCCAGGAAACAGCACCATTGTCCCAGTAACCAGCCACCTAGGTGACTCTCCTCACCCCCTCAGCCCTGGGACACGGGGCATCTCTGCTCGCTTGGAGCAAAGCAAGACATCAGACCAAGCACTGCGCCACCTCTGAAGCAGAAAAGCTACCATCAGTTAAGCCGGGTGCAGTAACAAAAGCCCACTGTCCCACCACCCAGGAGGCTGAGGCAGGAGGATCGCTGCAAGTTCGAGGCCAGCCTGGACTACATAGTGAGACCTGACTCAAAACAAACAAACAAAAAGTGTATTGTGTATTGTAGCCAACCAACTACGCCCCGAACACTGCCGGGCTGCGTGTGTGTTTAATAGGTGACGGATCTACTTAGCATCCCGAAGGCCCTGTGTAGTCCGAGGGACCTGTGTGTTGCAGGCCCTGCAGGGATTTCGCTCCTCTGGCTTTCAGGTAGTTCTTGGCTAGTGCAGGTGGATCTGCTCAGAGCCATCAGTTACAGCCTCGCTTCTCTCGCTAGTTTTCCTCTCCACCCCGCACACGCCGACGGTACGCCTTCTCCTCTCCACGCCACCGCTTGTGTTGCTAATTCTGTGTTCTAACAACAACGCCTACCACAACTGAAAGCTTTTTTACTAAGTGCTCAGTTTTTTTCTTAATTTTGGAAAAGATGGCAGCAGAGTATAAAAAAGAAAATGAAAATCTCCAGGTGCCGGAGCTCGGGGTACGTCCCTCATAAACATGCTAGCGTAGGGGAGCAGCCGGGGCCCAGGTAGGCTCGCGTGGGGACGCGCGGTGACCAGGGGCGACTGCAGGGCGGTGGGCACCGGATGCCTCAGGCAGGCGGAAGAGCCGCATCTGGGTGCCGGGGCTCGTGTGTGCGTGTGTGTGCGTGTGCGTGTGTGCGGCCGTACTGAAGGCTCCACCTCAGGTCACTGGGGGTCCCCAGAAGAGAGGGCTGCACATGCTTCGGTCTTCCCAGGAGTCCCTGCGAGGTGCCCCACGGAGGGGACAGCGTGACACGGGGCAGACAGGCAGCAGCGGGGACGGGGACAGAGCGTGGGATTCTTTAGCGGGGAAGTGACGCCCTTGTCGGGGGGATCGTGGGGCAAGGCCGCGCAAGACCCAGACTCACAGGTCCACGCCCCGGTGGGGGAGGGTCGTGGGGGTGCGCAGGCGCAGTCGGTGCGGAGAGGGGCGGGGCCGGGCACGCGGCCTGGGCGGGGCCCGGGCCATCACGAACCGAGCCGCTAGGCTCAGAACCGGCGACTCGCAGGAGTCCTGGGTCACCTCGGTGAGAGCCTGGCAGGTGCCCGGGACACGGAGCCCGAGAGCCATGGGCTCAGGGTTGGGGCGCAGGTGTCCCGGTGCCCCGCAGGCAGGGCCGGCACGGAGCAGCCTGACTCCCGCCCTGCCACCAGCGGCCGGGAACCACGGGAGGGACCGGGCGGGCCACACAGCTGCACCCCAAGGCCCCTCCAGCCCGCAGTTCCTGACCCGAAAAAGGAGCAGTGGGTCTTAGCGTCCAGCCGGGCCGAGGCAGAGACTGCACCGCTGCCTCAGATGCCAGCCTGGCTCCAGCCCGCAGGGCCTCCCGGGTCACAGGGCCCCCGCGGGGGGTGGGCGCCTGCTGAGGCCACCCCTATGACGCCCTCCGCATCATGTCACCCACCGAGGCTTGCAGGGTTCCTGAGGAAAAGAAGAGGAGAATAAAGTGATGCCCCACGATTGGGGCCCAGCCTCATGGCTCCCACCACGCACTGGACACAATACACACAGCACACTCAGACACATGCACGTGCACATGTGTGCTGCGGAGCTCTCTTCAGGTGCCAAGCACCAATGTCTCACCTGAGCTCTTTATTTTCCCACTGAGTCAGATGCTTGTTGCTGCCCTAACATCACCACAAATGCAGTGGCTTAGGCAACATGTTTTTTTCTATACTGGGTTGACCCCAGGGCCTTTGCACTGAGCTACATCCCCAGCCCTTTTGATTTTTTATTTTGAGACAGGTCTCGATACATTGCTAAGTTGTCTAGGCTGGGCTGGGACTTATGATCCTCCCACCTCAGCCTCCAGAGTACTGAGATGACAGGTGTGCGCCACCACGCCAGCTCCTGAATTATCATCTGATTCATGCTGCGGCTCAAACTGAACTTCCTGCATGTGGGCCGGTTGGTTTCTCCGTAAGTGTTTGTGGTGCCAGGCAGGGTCTGGCAGGGGGCCACCTGCTTGATAACACACCTGCTGCAGGCACAGGCGAGGCCAGAGTGGGGTCTGCAGACCCTCCCTCCCAGCTGCCCCTCGGTGGCCCCTCAGTCTCCCCAGACTTCCCTTGGGCCGTGGTCAGGGCCTTGGACCCCTTGCGGCCATAGACCTGGTGTTTTGGGGCACAGTGTAGGGCAGGGCAAGGCAGGGATCCCAGGTTGGAGGGGGCTGGGGGCTGGAGAGGCTGCATGGGGGAGGTCAAGACCCCAGGGGCCAGAGGAAGCTGGCAGAAGGGGTCACCAGGGAGGACACGGGTGTCAGCACCCACAGAGGAAGAGCGTGGGGGAGGAGGGCAGAAGGGAGTGGGGACCCCCCCCCCGGGCCACCTGTCTCTGGGGAAGGCCAGGTGTCCCTGCAGCAGGGCACCTCAGGAGGAGGAGGGGATAGGAGCAGGCTTCCCGGGAGTCTGGAGGAAGCCCGGAGACCACGCACTTCCTGCTTGGCAGGGAATGCAGGGGTGGCTGTGTGGGGTGGGTGTCAGCCAGGACACGGGGCTCTTGGGTTTGCAGGCGCCTGGGAAAAGCTGGGAGGAAACACAGAGGGCGCGTGGGCGCTGCAGCTGGGCAGGGCCTGGTGACTCAGCACCAGACACCCAGGCAGGGAGAGGGGGCGGCTTCCTCCTCCAGCTCCCACGGGGCTGCTGGGACTGCAGGGACACATGGGCCGGAAGTCACCAGGGAAGGGGGCTGCTCCTGTCTGCTTCTGTGGAAGAGTCCAGAAGCCCCTGCGGCAGGGAACCAGCTCCATCGTAAACAACTGAACCGAAAGCTGCAGGCATCTACAGGAAGTCTGGGGTCGGGCTTCTATCAGTGTACCAAAGAGCCAGTCCCAGCAGGGCCGGAGGCTTCCTGGGGCGACAAGCGGGAATGTTCTAAAACCTCTGGTATAACAGGGAAAGGTCTGCAGTTTCCTCTGGTGACAAAGTCACGGGCCCCATATGCACAGCTGCAGCTGTGGCTCCTGCCCGGCCCCCAAGGAATAGTCGCTCGGTTTTGGTGGAACCTGGACAGAGTCTTGAGGTTGACCTGCCCAAGGGCTCAGCCCCTTAGATTCCGCTTGTGACCTTCCAAGCACTGAGAACTTCTGCTCTGCAGTTGGAGTCAGAGCCCAGGCCCGACAGATGGCAGGAAGGAAGGGCCACGGAGGACACACTTGCTGGGGGACAGCTCGCTGTGTGGAGCTGCAGGGACAGCAGCCCTCAGAGATGCCAGAATTGCCAGTTCTTGTGTCAGTTCTCCTGACCGCCATACCTTACCAAAAGATATTCATGTTTTAAACAGTACTTTGGGGGTTGGCTCCCCAGTGGCTGACACCCCTTGTGGGCACCCCCCAGGCCTGCAGTCCCCCCTGAAAGGCCTGTCGCCAAACCCAGGCTCCCGTCCCGGGGTGTCCACAGCAGTGGCCTCTCCACCCAGCAGCTGCGTGACCTTCGCCACTGCGCAGGCTCCATCGGCGCGGCTCTGACATTTCCCAGCCACCCTCTCTCACGGCGGTGGGGTCCCCTCTGTGAGCCAGCGTGGGGTCACAGGGCACTGTGGAGTGCAAGGATCCGGTCGTTTCCTGTCTCCCTTTGCTCTGTTTGTCCCCAGACAGCCACTGTGGATGCCCACGGCAGTCGCCTGGCTCACACAGGCAGTGGGGGCTCCGGAAGGTGGGGCCGGTGGCCCTTGGTGCCCACAGCCCGGAGCGCTGCTGCTTTCATGCTGAGCCCCACCCTGGTGTCTTCCTTGGCAGCTGCGGGAGGCGGGCTCTGGGCAGGTTGTCAGGTTGTCAGGGGGATGGGAGAGGAGACAGCGGGGGGGGGGGGGATCTGCCACCGCACTGTCACACCCCAGCCTCGATTTAGAAAAAGCTCACCCTGTGGCTGGGGGAGCAGCTGGTGACAGGCTGTGAGTGGTGGTGAGGGAGCTGGGGCTGGGAGCTGGGCCGACACGGGAGAATAAATTAGGACTCTGGGGAGGGGAGGCCTCGGGGAGCCAGCCCAGGAAAACAAGGGCTGTGGCCGGAAGTTGGTGCAGAGGAGGAACCATGTGGCCAGGCAGGGCCTTGGGCCTCAGGCAGAGGAAGCCTCATTGGAAGGCCCTGAAGCACCTGGCTGGCTGGGGAGGCGACAGGGAGAAGTGGGGCCACCCATGGGCCAAATGTCCATCGTGGTGTTGATGGATGCAGGGGCTGGGGGTTCAGAAGAGGGGCCCAGGCAGGACCAGGTGGGGCACACCTGTGATCCCAGCACTCAGGACGTTGAGGCAGGAGGGTCATGAGTTTGAGGCCTGCCTGGGCTGCATAGGAAGTCCCCAGGCAGGAGCTGGAGGACAGACAGGCTGGCAGGTGGCCCAGGGGAGCCAGGCAAAGAGGCCAGGTGGGCACCTTGGACGCCTGAGGGGGCAGGGCCTCTGTTTCTCAGCAGCTGAGAGGAGACGCCATGGCGGGTGGGAGGGCGGTGCTACAGCCCTGGGCCTGGCTGTCCCCACAGTCCCGTCCTCCGAAGTGGGGCTGGCAGGAAGTAACTGAGCTGACCTTCCCTCCCGGGAGTGCTGGGGCCGGGCGACAACAAGGCAAGCAGGAAGGAGAGCGGACGCTGGGCCCCAGCCCCTGGCAGAGGCCGACTGATCACTGGGAGGTGGCCCCGACCCCTCCCTAACCCTAACCCTAACCCTAACCCCTCCTCTCCGTGACCAGAGCCCTTGGAGCCTGATGTTGCCAGGACGACCGCAGCAGAAGCAGTCCCGGCAGTGGGTGACCAGTGACGGATGTGGGAAGGGTTTGTCCCCCGGAAATGTGCTGGGGGAGCAGCGCTCGACTCAGGGTATGGCCCCGGGGGCACTCCTGGAATACAGGCCTGCGGTTCATGGGGAAGAGTCAGTTTACAGAGGAAAGCATCGCTCTCAGAACAGCAAAATATTAGATTATGATCTGAGAATAGACATATGTCCCTGCTTACTAATGTACCAGAGAACAACCTAGCAATGGACTTGATAATTACCCCACGGTAAAGAAATGGTGAACATAAACAACATTTCACAGTACCCGCAATAAATAATGTTAGAAACTAAACACGGGAAGAAAACATCAGTGATTTCTTTCTTCCCTCCTTTCCCCCTTTTCTCTTTTTCTTTTTTGAGACAGGGTTTCACTAAGTTGCCCTGACTGGCCTCAAACTTGAGATCCTCCTGCCTCAGCCTCCCACCATAACTGGGATTACTGACATGCACCACTGCACCCAGTGGGGAGTCGGCCCTGTCCCCCTGTCCTCCCCCAGCATGGGCTCCCTGTGTCCTGTGCTTGCCGGGCAGGCGCCTGTGTCCCGATGACCGTCCTGGCGGCTGTCCTGCCCTGCCACCCCCACCCCCCCGACGGCTGGGACCTGAAGCCCACGGAGCTGACTGTGAACCTGGTGTGGCAGAGACACGGACAGAGGGAAGGACAGGGGCAGCAGGCCACCCAGCTGTGCCCCAGCCGGGACACCAAAGAGGAGCGGGACACAGGCTGGGGAGCCACCATGCCAGCACCATCTCGACAAGAAGCCTGTGTGGCCTGGTCCTGTCCTGGGCTCCGAGTGGCACGGGGGACTGGGACTGGACCCTCCCAGACCAGGGGCCACACCCGTGTCGCAAGGAGCTGCACTGGCCCTGCATGCTCTGGGACCTGCCTTGCATGGGCCATGGGGCCCGCTGGGTGACGTCAGTGGGACAGAGGCCACTTCCTGTGACTGCTGGCAGAGCCGCCCGACGATGATGTCCGGCATCACCTCCCAGGATGGGGGTCTGTATTCAGAGCCCTCGAATTTAACAAGAGCATAGAATGGGGAGTGTTCTGCAGAATCTTGATCCTGTTTTCCCCACTCCCCTCCACCCCCCTCCACACCCCTCCACACCCCTCCACCCTTCCCATTTCCGCAAAGTCTGATTCCCAGATATAAATAAATTAAGGCGCAAAAGAAAAGAGAAAATGAAACAGTGACTTCAGTGTGAGCAGAGCGAGGGAGGGGCCTTGGAAGTGGGCTCAGCCCAGCTTCCACCGGGCTGTTGGTGGCCTGCACTGGGGTCCCTGAGAGCCAGGGCTGCAGAAGCTGGGGCCGGCAAGGCCGGGGTCCCCGCAGCTGGGCAGCACTCACCACTGAGCCACCTGGCCCTGACGGCCAACACAATGGACACGCCTGGAAGGAGAGGATGGGCCAGGTGGGAAGGCTGTTCCTGTCTATTTCCAGGTGGGCAAGGAGGAGAGAAGGCAGTGCTGACCTGGGCAGCAGAGGGAGGAGGGCACCCAGCCCAGCTGCGGCCCTGGTGCCCCCTCCAGCTGCCTGTGAGCAACTGTGCCCGCCTGGCCTGGGCCCTGCCCTCAGGGGGGGACACCTGCCCGGCCGGCAGTGGCTCCTGGGGTTGGAGTCCTTGTGCCCCCAGGGGACAAAGCAAGGGGCCTCGGATCCAACTAGAAAACCAGTGTTGCCCTTGGAGGTGGCTCCGATGGCGACCCCTGGCTTTGGAGGCCCCGTCCCTGTTTCAGGGTTACAGCTGGGGACGCCACAGGGAAAGCCCCCAGGTCTGCGGTCCCTCTGCACTTGGTCGCCAGCCTGGGAAGCTGCAGCTCTGCCCAGGGACCCAACCCGGACTCCTCGTTGTCCTCACAGCCTGTGCTTTCTCCTCGCCACCCCTGGACCAGTAACCGGGGCCCGGTTTGGGGACCAGCAGGCCACGCTGCTCATCACGATTGGCCTCAGGATGTGCAAAGTGTGTCCCTGCTGTTGTGCAAGGCGTACCTCATCGGCACGTTGGGCCTCGGTGGGGAAAGAACCCGGTTTGAGGTCAGGAGGATTTGGAGGCTGTCTGTCTCTGTTTTGGAGCAGCCCTGCCACTCAGATGCCAGCAGCCACGGGCAGGGCACCTGGCTGAGCCAGGACCTGGCCATCTGGGCAGCACCTCGCCCTGACCCGGCTTGGCCCGAAGCCTGCGTGGAGTTGGAGTTGCGAGTCCAGTCCTGCCAGTGGGTGCGGCTGGGAACCAGCGGGGCTCTGGGCGAGGCCTCTTGACTCGTGCTGGGCAGGACACGGCCCCTGTGGTCCCGGAAGTCTGACTCACCTGTCCTGGAGGAGGGGGGTGAGCTGGGGAACCAGGAGCTCCATTCTGGCTCACAGCCGGCCCAGCCAGGGAGGGGCAGAGTTTGAAGCCAGCAGAGGGGCCCTGGGCACGGCTGGGCTCACACTGCTTCCGGCCCTTTCATAGCTGCCTGGATCCTGCAGACCACAGGGAGAGCTGACCAGGGATGTCCCCATGCAGGTGAAGCTGACAACGCAGGCGACACCTGGCTCGTTTTCTGCCGCAGGCTTCGGGCCCGACCGACTGAGACTCAGCAGAGGCCTCGCCAGTTCTCTCCAGCCCAGGCTTGTCGGGAATTTTGCTGGCTCACTGTTCCCAGCCCAGGATGAGCAGGGCACCTCGGGCTCGCTGGGAGGGGCGGGGAGCAGCCTTGGCCTGCAGCGGAGACCAGGCCTCCCCACCTGTCCTGAGTCCTCGAACACCCGGCACCTTGCTTGTGCTGGCCTGGGTGCTGCCCCAGCCTGACCACCCTAGGACCCGCCTTCAGGATGGGGTGCCCCCTGACCGGAATCTGCCAGGCCCCACTGTGCGCCCAGCTCCCGTCAAGGGGCTCCCAGCCGATGCTCCTGGTTGCTCCATCGGCTGTGGGGTGCTGATGTCCATACCCCGGTTAAGGACAAGGTGTGGGGCAGGCTTAGCCAGCACCAGGGCTGCACAGTGGTGCTGCTACCAGCGAAGAAAGGACTCCCAGCAGCTGGCGGGAGCCACCCACGGCTGTTTGTCAAGGGCCAGCAGGACGCCGGAAGTGCAGAGGCGCTCAGTAAGTGCTGGCTGCCACCTCGTAAGTGAACGTTATACATGCACCCGGCCAGGCAGACCGCAGCAAACTCCCAGAGGCCCCTGAAGCAGGTGACCAGGAGTTTGTGGCCAGCAGCGCTGGGAGGAGGTATCGCTGGCGTGGAGTGTCCTGCGGGTTGAGTTCAGTGCTCAGCCTGGGGAGGAAGGAAGAAAGGAATCAGGAGGAAACAGACAAGCCTGGGGCTAGGGCCGGCATAGGTCACCTGGCTGGGGTTTGGGGACTGCAGCAACAGGACAAGAGGGGTTGGATGAGGTGGCACACGCCTGTAATCCCAGCACTCAGGAGGCTGAGGCAGGAGGACTGCAGTGAGTTCAAGGCCAGCCTGGCCTACATAGGAGACCCTGTCTCGAAAAAAAAAAGATGGCACATGTGGGACAGCTTGATGGTGCCCACCAAGACCTTGTGAGATCCTGACCCCAGGACCTGTGACCACAGGATTTATGACTCCCAGTGCCTGTGACCTTCAGGACTTGTGACCCCTCAGCGCCTGTGACCCGGACTTCGTTAGAAAACGGAGTCATTGCAGACAGCCGAGTACAAAGAGGCCTCGGGTGGGACCCATGTGACCGAGTCCTCAACCAGGGGCAACAGGTCCCCAGCAGCCTGCACACCGGGAGAAGCCACCGGAAGAAGCTGCAGCCACAGCGGAGCTGCACAGTCCCAAGGACGCGGCCAGCTGTTTCCTCCGCCCTCGGCACTCTCGGCCCAGGCTCCCCTCGGACTGGCTGAGCTGCTGGGAGCGCTGGCACCACAGCTGCGGCAGGGCCAGCTTCCTCACAGGACTCCCCTCAGGCAGCCTGGTGGCCCCCTGTGACAAGGTGGACACGGCAGGCAGCTCCATGGGCCTCGAGGGCTCAGCTGCAAAGCACAGGGGGCAACTGGGCCGAGGGACCGCCACCTGCAGGGCGCTGGGCACCAGTGTTCGGGGAGCATAAAGGAGGAGAGCTCTCGGCACCGGCCCCTGCAGCAGCAGAGAGCACGGCCAAGAGGCCGGAAGTGGCCACGCGGGGCTGAGGGATCGTCCCGGGGAGCCTGAGCGACCCCAGACCCAGGCACATTTGGGCCAGGCAGCGCAGCCGCAGTCCTCCACGCGAGCAGCACGGCCAGCTCCACACTCCGCGTGACTCAGCAGCGCTGGTGAATCAGGCCGGACGGCTCACGGGCGTGGCCAGCGCCCCAGGCTGGGGCCAGGCCGCGATTAGGTCATCTGCCTGGAAGGGCCCCCCCCGCCCCCTGCTGGGAACCGCTCTTCTGCCCCCAGTGTCTCTCTGGGCCTGGCCTCAGGAGACACCTGCCTGGAGACCCGAGGTGGGGGGCGGTCCCGGGGTCCCAGCCCGGCCCTGCTACTGCTCGGTCGGTCGTGTCCTCCAGGAGTCAGAAGAGCCAGACAGACAGCAGGAAGCGGCGGGGCCGCGGGGCCTCACGCCCCGTGGGGTGCAGAGAGGAGAAGCCAGGGCCGCTGTGCGCTCGGGGGAGCTGGCTGCAGGGGTGGGGAGGCGTGCGGGTTGGAGTTGCAGCCTCTGGCCCTGCCTGGGGAGGCAGGCGTGACCTACGATAGTCCCCTGCACACCTGCACTGCCCCGCAAGAGTGTGGTCAGTGCGCATGCGCCCCTTTTGCGAGTCTTTTCCCTGTGGAGTGGTCAGAGCTCCGCACCTATTCCGGAAGTGCACCTGGCCCGGCCTGGATGCTGCTCACATCCTCCGGGCCTGCTTTCTCTCTGTCTCTCACACACACATCAGCTTGTGTGTCTTCCACTCTCCTTTCCTCATTCGTTAGAAGTTTTAACTTTCACATAATCACATTTGTCGATCAATTCCTGTATAAGAGCTTGGCTCTGAGTGATCTCATGCTTGGAAAGGCTCTCCCAATCTCAAGACAATCTCTCCCAATCTCTTCTAACGCTTTAAAGTTTCACTTTTTTTTTTTTTAGACAGGGTCTTGCTGTGCAGTTTGGGCTGGCCTTGAACTCACTTGTGTAGTCCAGGCTGGTCTCCACGGTGATCCTCCTGGCTCAGCCTCCCGAGTGCTGGAATTACCGGTATGCATCACCACACTCAGCCTAATCTTTCTCATTTGAGCTTTGATCGATCTGCAATTTATTCCATGCTTAGAGTGAGGCAGAGATGTGTTTATTTATTCAAATGTCCTAATATCATGCAGCAAACGGTCCATTTTTCTTATTGGGCTTCAAATGCCAATCTTTTCAGTCACTAAAATCATATATATTTTATCTCCATTTCCCTAAGAAGAAACCTCAAAGAGGTCAAGTTTCTCTCTCTGTCTCTCTCTCTCGTCGAACTTATTTTTTTTCCATTAAGTTTATTGGTACATTTTAGGTATAAAATACAGTTTCACTCATCATTGGGATCTTGTACCTTGAATCTAAATCCTTTTCTTTTTTTTTTTTTAATGGTACCGGGGATCAAACTCGGGTCCTTGTGCTTTCGAGGCAGGCAGTGGAACCACTGAGCTACATCCCAGGCCTCTCCTTGAACTCATAGCAATTTTCCTGCCTCAGCCTCGGGAGTGCTGGGATGACAGGTGTGTGCCCTGTGCCTGGCGAGGTCAAGTAACTTCCGGAGTTTGAGCAATGAGCTGGTGCCTGAGCCACAGGTGGAAGCCGAGTCCGTGGTGTTTGCAGGACAAACTGTGGACAGGAGCCGGTTGGCAGGGCGAGGAGCGGGCAGGAGCCCGCTGGGCCACAGAACGTCAGCTGCACTTTTAAGCCAGTTTTGGCCTACAGACTCGGCCCGGTGACATGGGCGGCTTTGGCTGCAGCAGGGCGGAGTGCACCCAGAGGAAAGCGACCTGCAGAAGTGCCCAGAACAGGGTGCAGGACAGCGGTGTGTGTGCTGGAGCTCGAGGGGGTGGCAGGGGATGGCAGGGGCATTGGGTGACACCCAGGCTCTGCCCTGGGCTCAGGGCCCCCCATGCCACTGGGGCCATCCCAGCCTTGCCTCT